ATGAGTTTATTTATTTAAAATTCGTATGACATTTAATTTTATTTCATTTATTAATTTTGCGAATTCTTCTATTTTTTGTTTCTTTAACAATGTTTCAAACTCACGAAATATTAATATTTACTATAATTTTAATTGCTAACTTAACTATTTTTTTATATATTTAAATTTAAATTAGTTTCGCGCCACTTTATAACAGACGACGGAACGCCGGCGCGCAAGGTTCCCAGTTTAGTTTTTATCTGTATTGAATATCGATATTTGAGACTATTTTCCTTTTATTTTATTTTGATAAATATGAAATGTTTGATTTAAACTAAATTTATTAACTATTATTTGAGATTTTTGTATATAATCTTGAACTTATTTAATTTTTATTGTGGTTTCATTTCAATTCAATTATGACCCAAAAATTTTTGATTCTTACACCATACAGGAATACATATGAGTTTTTATGAGTGGACTTCACTGTTTTAGTTGTCCACATTAGATATCAACTAGGTAATTATATGGGAAATTTTAATATAGATATAAAGTATCATAGTTCCTCACTTATGCCGCCAGATGGTGACAATTTTTTCTCTTACAGTTGACGTCAGTCTTAAATACTATAAAAGCTGAAACTCTAACTCAGAAAGTGTATTGCAAAGCACAATTTTTTTCTTTTCAGATAAATTGCAGTAATATTATTTGATTTTTAATTAAATAATTTTAAATTTTCCCTATTGAAAAAAAACACGTATAATTGTACGTATAATAATACGTATAATTATACGTATTATTATACGTATAATTATACGTATAATTATACGCATAATTATACGTATTATTATACGTATAATTATACGTATTATTATACGTACAATTATACGTATAATAAGACATACGAATTTGAAACAAGAATTATACGTATAATTATACGTATAATAATACGTATAATAATACGTATAATTAATTATACGTATAATAATACGTATAATTATACGTATTATTATACGTATAATTATAATTCTATTAAAAATAGAATAATAGAATAGAATAATTAGTAACAAAATTGCGCTGGAAATTTTTAGAAATTTTAAAATGCAAATTAAATTTCACGAAAAAAAATATCGTCGAATGTCAATTCAAGCAGTCACCCATCCAAGTACTAACCGCGTCCAACGTTGCTTAACTTCCGTGATCTGATGAGAACTTGTTCTTTCGCCTTGGTGTTTCCGCTGTCTTGTCTTGATTAATAACTTTGTCGTATAAGTATTGTACCGCACCTCACTTTTAGTGATACTTATACGACAAAGTTATTAATCAAGACAAGACAGCGGAAACACCAAGGCGAAGGAACAAGTTCTCATCAGATCACGGAAGTTAAGCAACGTTGGACGCGGTTAGTACTTGGATGGGTGACTGCTTGAATTGACATTCGACGATATTTTTTTTCGTGAAATTTAATTTGCATTTTAAAATTTCTAAAAATTTCCAGCGCAATTTTGTTACTAATTATTCTATTATATTATTCTATTTTTAATAGAATTATAATTATACGTATAATAATACGTATAATTATACGTATTATTATACGTATTATTATACGTATAATTAATTATACGTATTATTATACGTATAATTATACGTATAATTCTTGTTTCAAATTCGTATGTCTTATTATACGTATAATTATACGTATAATTATACATATAATAATACGTATAATTATACGTATAATAATACGTATTATTATACGTACAATTATACGTGTTTTTTTTCAATAGGGTTTATAAACTGCCGTCTGCCACCTGAAAATTCCAATATGAAATCCTACATTGTTTCCCTTATATAAATCCATGTAAAATCTTATGTTGATATTTCAGAATCTACATGAAATCCCACATGACTTCTTATGTTTAATTGCATGTGATTTCATATGTAAAAATCCACATGAAATCCCATATGGTTTTCTACATTAATACATTTATGTGGGTAATTATAAAGAAACGGACATGGGAAATTGATAAAAAAAGGAAGAAATTATATAAGAATCCACATGAATTCCTATGGAGAAACACAAATGCAAATTCCCACATGAATTCTTACTCAAAATAGTGTGTTCATAACTTCCTTAAAAATGCATCAATTTTAAAAGTTTTTTTCAAAAATTTCATGCAAAAAATTATAAAATTAAAATTTTTTTAGAACTGTCCCTGGCGGATTTGATTTACCTAAATTCGACCCAGCTGGGGCGAATCTAAGTCGAATTTAGGTAATTATCAGAAAAAAGCTTTAAATTGATGAAAATTTATAAAAATTAGTATTGTGAGGTTAAATGAACATTTATAGAGTTAATTTTTGTAAGAATTTTAATTATTAACGTGATAAATAATAAATAATCACTTGATATGTGCAAGTGGTAACTGTAGATTTTAACTCGTTGTCAGTTTTCATAATATTTTCAAAAAATTAGTGTAAAATGTGTGAAAAAATAATTTATATTTAATAGAAATTGCAAATTTTATTAAATTATTTTATTATTTATCGAGCACAGTTTAAAATAATTGCAATTTAATTTAAAAAAAAAAAGTTTTCTTAAAAGTGATAAGAACTCTACTATACCGACAGCAAGAGGATATTTTCAGGTAAGTAAAGTTATTGTAGCGTGTAGTTTTGTTGTGACTAAAAGATGTCGCATCATCGAATCTCATGATCAAATATTCATGAAGATTCATGAGATTCGATGTTCCTGTCTGATCACTATAGAAACTAATGCGACATCTTTTAGTCACAACAAAACTACACGCTAGAATAACTTTACTTACCTGAAAATATCCTCTTGCTGTCGGTATAGTAGAATTCTTATCACTTTTAAGAAAACTTTTTTTTTTTAAATTAAATTGCAATTATTTTAAACTGTGCTCGATAAATAATAAAATAATTTAATAAAATTTGCAATTTCTATTAAATATAAATTATTTTTTCACACATTTTACACTAATTTTTTGAAAATATTATGAAAACTGACAACGAGTTAAAATCTACAGTTACCACTTGCACATATCAAGTGATTATTTATTATTTATCACGTTAATAATTAAAATTCTTACAAAAATTAACTCTATAAATGTTCATTTAACCTCACAATACTAATTTTTATAAATTTTCATCAATTTAAAGCTTTTTTCTGATAATTACCTAAATTCGACTTAGATTCGCCCCAGCTGGGTCGAATTTAGGTAAATCAAATCCGCCAGGGGTTTGTATCCTACGACATTTTTCAAAAAAACTATTTCCTTTTACAAAAATTTTAAGCCTAGTCCGGTCGTGGAAAAACAATTTTTTCAATATTTTCGGAATTAAAAAAATTTTTTTTAAAAATATCTCCGATTTTGTTTTATACTTCATACTTTTATGTATTTTAATGCGCTGCGAGGCTGATTACAAAAATCTTAGTGACAATACTCACAATTTTGATTTTTTGCTTTTTTTCGTTTATTGGGTAGAATATGCAAAAAAAACTTTTAGACAAAACTTGTAGATTGTAATACATAATTTATATCACGCATTTTTAAGGAAGTTATGAACATTCAAAAATAAAACATCATTAAAATTGTTCAATTTTGAAAAACTCATATCTCGTAAACGGCTTGATGAAAAAATTTTAAAAAAATCATAAAGCTCTTTTTTGGAGAGTAGTAAACGTTAAAAAAATTAAGCGAAATTGAAGAGGTCAAAGTCGACGATAGGTTGATTTGGCATGGAACGCCCCATATATATTTATTATATTTTGGTTAAAAAGTTTATTAAATAAAATATGAAGAATTTTAGAATTTAATAGTTACTGTATATCTACCATGTTCTATAGTAGCCATACGTTTATTTTCAGAATAAAATCTTTTTTTTAATTCTCGACGAGATTTCTCGTCTCGTATCGATTTCACGATATTTAAAAAAATTCTGTCTCGTTTCGTCTCGAGCTAAAGTTCTCTCGTCTCCTCTCGCCATTATCGCGGCAACACTTATAGGATCCCACAGTGATGGGTACGTATAATACGTGGTTTTCTAAGTGTATAATACTACGTATATTACATGCCAAGTTTTCTACACGATGTATATTACATTTGATCACGTGATTTAAGAGCGGCAATTTTAAATTCTTCATTAAAATACATCATTCATTACTTTACACTATTGAAAGAGAAAGTTGTTAATATAAACAAAATTTAGGTAATTATTAATTATTTTAACAATTATAAAACAAAATTTTTAATTATTGAAATATTTTTATATCGGTTTTATTTCTAAGTTGGTTTCACAGATAAGAGTGAACACCGGGCCACGTGCATAATAACATAACCTATATTCTAAGTATTATATTGTCAGTCTAGTCGTTTGGTATCTCCCAAAATAAACAATTTTTAAATAAAAACTTTATAAACAATAACAAATCTCTTAAATGACAAGTATTATGACTAGAGGTGGAAGGCCCAAGCACAATTCTTGGGAGCAATTAGAATTTATTTCAAGGAAGGAAGATGGGAAGAATGTTGCTTTGTGTCAAATCTGTAATCGCGTTTTAAAAAACACATCCGAAGATCGGCTTTTTCTGACCATTTATATTTTATTTTAAGACTTTAATTTAAATAGAATGATAAGAAAAATTCGTTATGGCAAAAATCAGAGGATCATATATAGATGTCAAAATGTCAGTGGTTTTCTACATGGTTTTATACATTTTATACGTATATTACGTCGAAAACGTATTATACGTACAAAACTTCGTGTGACGCGTCACAACCCATCACTGGGATCCCATGTAAGATCTTATATAGTATTTTTCAGTAGAGAATTTACCGAATTTTAAGAAAAATCCGAGACCCAACCCCATCTTTTAATATGAAATGCTTTAAAAAAATGTTAAAATGAATTTTTAAAATCATTCAAACATAAAAAAATACGTTAAGTCGACATCACTATTTCTTATAACTTACTACTTTTTTTATTTATAATTTTAGAGCAATTCTTGGAGAAATTCAAAGAAAGAATACTGAAGCTAAATCAGATTATGTTAGCAAACAAAAGCGTGATCTTTTATTGGAACTTAGTGTGAGATTGGAGTGGGCTGGAATTACTGATTCTATGAAAAAATGTTATATTGAACCTCCAAGCATTAATAATATGTCTTTTATTATGTTCTTGTTAACAGTGATTCAAATTCATAAATTATACTTCTGTAAAAACACAGGTGACACTCATTTTGTAGAATTAAATTGAGGAGCTGGATCGAAGAACCTACGCTTCGCTCGGACCGGACGCGCTTATACCAGTAGGGTAGCAGTGAGCGCCTGTGATCCACACACTGCTACCCGACTGGTGGCATTAGCGCGTCTGGTCCGAGCAAAGCGTCGGTTCTTCGATCCAGCTCCTCAATTATTATAATACAATGTAGTTTCTAATTACTTTTCATATAATATTTTTATTAAAACAATAATATTTAAAAATAAAGGTTAATATGTGGGATACTTCTTCAATCGCCTCAGCCCAAAAAGTGAAAATTCTGGGATTGGGTTGATACTTTGGTAAATTGTTGTCCTATATGAAAGTAATAAATCACTAAAATATTAACTCATTAAAAAAAATTGTAGAAAGTATAGGGGGTTGAAGTTTTTACGTTTTTGGTAACATTGTAATTTTCAAATCCGCATAACTATGACAAAAGTCATTGGATTTTAATTTGTGTATAGTGGATTTTAAAGCATTTCCCACGTTCTTTTCAATAATGTACACGAAATTTAAGAAAAAAATTTTTTACCCCTTTTTTTAAAATCAACCCTTATTTTCCGATTTTCACCCCTTCGGGTAAATTAAAAAAAATTTATTTTATTTTCATTCGAAAGCTGAAGTTTTTTCCAATATTCAACGTCAATATAAAAGTGGGACAAAAATAATTTTTTGAGAGACATATTATTAATGTAGGCGATGCTACCGCGCAATCAACGCAATGCAACGGTGCGTTCACGTCGTTATACACAACTATATTATACCTATTTACTTCAGTAATAGTTCTCTGCATTTTGCAGTGTTGAAAAAATTATTTTTAATTATAATATAAATTAATAAAATAATTAATATATTTTATTAAATAAAAAAATTTCGATTGTGTTTATTTCACTAATATAAATGAAAAATTTCCTTTAGGAATTTCTCATCAAAAAAAGCTTCAGAATGTTGCAAAAAATAAAAAAAATTCCTTTACGCGTTTCTCAACCAAAAAGGGCAATAAAAAATGTAATAAAAAATCATAAAGGAATTAAACACCCTTCCCTCACAACATGGGATATCCCATTTTCATCCCGCGATTTCCCTGAGATAGCCCAGGTATATCCCAAATTTCCGTTCTGTGCGACATCCCTTTTTATTAATTTAATTTCATTTATTTATTAACAGGACATGCCCTTTCATACACAAGTATTCTTAAATCTAAAGTTATTTCAATAACTTGTATTAATAAATTAGTTAATTAACTAGAATAGCTGTATGACTAATTAAGATCAAGTACATGTCTTCGTAGCAACGTGGTGAATCTTGCAATATTATTATCAAAAAAATCAATCTCATTCAAAAGTCGATTAGCTTCCCTACAAATTCTATTAATCATTGAATGATATCCATAATTTGTTCTATGAAATGATTCAGAAAACACTGAATAATTTCTAGATACTCTAGTTGGATCATTGAAGTTAATCATTGCTAATAAGGTTGGGCAATTTATTAAACTGTTTAAGAGTTTATATAAACAAATTAAATCAGCAAACAAAAATCTAGATGTCATCAAAGGAATATTTAAAAGGACTCGCAAGTTACTGTAGTCATGAGTGTATCTGTCAAAAGGTAAAGGAAGTTGTCTTGCTGCAAAACGCAAGAATCTGTTTTGCACTCGTTCAATTCTAACTTTATTGATTTTATAGAAAGGTACCCAAATTAGAGAGGCGTACTGCAATGTGGGTCTAATAAGAGAAAAATATAAAATTTTAAGTGTATTCATATTGTGAAAAATTTATGCACACCTCATGACAAATCCCAATGATTTTAGTACTTTAGAAATTATCCCTGCAATGTGATCGTTGAAAGATAGGTTGTTGCATAAAATTACTCCCAAGTCCTGCATCTGGGTTACTCTAGGTAACTCATCATGTCCAAGAGTATTGCAATATAAATAGGTGATTATGTTGGAAAAAGATATAACACAACTTTTATTAATATTCATTTAAATTACACCATTCATTAAGTCTATCTAAATCTGATTGCAACTGTGATGAATCAAGACAAGGATTGTTTGAATTAATTAATTTGTAGATTTTCAAATTGTCAGCATATAATAAAAATGATGAAAACTTGAAAACTAATTTTATGCTATTCATATAAAGAATAAATAAGAGTGGTCCCAATTGCGATCCTTGGGGTTCACCAGAGGTGGCTAAAAACGGTACAGAGTGTTCTTCACCAATTCTTACCATTTGATATCTATTAAACAGATAACTTTAAAAAAGAAATCAATTTGTCAGACACACCCATGGCTTTCAGCTTGTTTAGGAGTAAGCAATGATCGACCTTATCAAAAGTCTTCGAAAAGTCAGCGTAAGTTAAATCGGTCTGTTGGCCCTTTTCAACGTTACCCAGTGTGCAAAGTTACAGAACAGTTCTGTAACACAGTTCCAAAACTGTTCTGTAACAAAATTGTAACACTTGTTCTAGAACAAGTTACACTTTTTGTTCTAGAACAGTTACATAACGTGCACACTGCGGGTAGGAGTTACAAAATTTGTAAAAATAGCAAGATTAGTTATAGTAGACCGTCCTTGAACAAACCCATGCTGTTCTTCAATAAGAATATTACTGACCGCGTAATATAACGAATCGTATACTATGTTTTCAAAGATCATTGGTATGATATCTTTAAGTGATAATCTCCGATTTTAATGAAACTTGGTATGAATGTAGTACTTGGAAAAATAAGAGACCCGTATATTTTTATATCTTGACATGATCCACTTTAAAGGGTAGAAATCACCCCTTGAAGTTATAGGGGTGTAATGTCATAATTAGAGGCTGTGGTCAAACTATTACAGATAGCTAAACAGTGAATTCCGCAATGAAAACATTAGAAATGAAGATAATTTTCCATTAAAAAATATTTACAAAATTCAATTGTTTAAACAATTGTTGTTTAAACAATTACTTGAGATCGACAAAAATCTTAAAATCTAATAACGCCATTCGATTATATGGAAAAAATTACTACGAAAATGTTTCTTGCAAAATTTCTTGTCATTTTATTTTACATAAAAAAAATTAAATAAACATTTTTATAACTAATAAGAACTTCGCTTCGACAAAACGATAACTATCTACGGTGTCGTGAAATAAAAACCACGAGATGAAAGCGTTTCATAAAAAGAGATGATTATCCACATAATAACTAATAAGAACTTCGCATCGGCAATGGAAAAACCATAATAATATTTATTGAGATTAAAACTTATTGGAAAAATTTGTTTTTAAACAATTTGATTGAGGAAGTTAAAACAGGGGCATAATAATTGTTAATCGTTTGACGACCGCACAAAATTGTAAATATTAAATGTTATATTTTTTCGTAGTATTTTTAACGTAAAATCGAAATGTAAGATTAATTTTTTTTTGAAGTTATAATTTCTTTCTTTGTTTATGAATATTGAACAGCGTTGATACTTTTTTAAAAATTTGTTAAGTTGTTCATAACAAATTGTTATAAATAATTTTTTTTTCAAATTATTTTAAACGTAAAAGTTTATTGCCAGGTCTCATGCTAGGATCCCATTCATTGTTTTGTTGATATCTACTTCTCTCTGCCCATGGGCAGGACAAGTATAAGTTCATTATATTTGTTTATAACATTTTTACAACAATATAAGTTAAAAAAATATGTCATACATGTTCTCGTATTAATTTTTCACGTGGAAACAAATGACGTCATTTTTTTGAAAAATTCAAAATTTCTTTATTTGTTTATGACAAATTGTTATAAACAATTTTTTTTTATTTTTACGTGAAAATGCATTGCTAGGTCTCATGCTAGGATCCCAACAGTTGTTTTTTCGATATTTGCTTCACTCTGTCCATAAGCATTAATGGGTAAATAGATTAATTGTTAATTAGTTATAAGCAATTGAATACACTTTCGTTGTATTTTTCCGTAGAATTGAATGGCGTTATTATATTTTAAGATTTTTGTTGTACTCAAGTATTTGTTCAAACAATAATTGATAAAACAATTAAGTATGTTTTTATTTTTGTGTGGATAATCATCTCTTTTTATGAAACTTTTTTATCTCGGGGTTTTCATTTCATGACGCCGCAGACAGTTTTCGTACTGTCGAAGCAAAGTTCTTATTTGTTATAAAATTGATTATTTTTTTATGTAAATTGAAATAACAAAAAATTTTGCAAAACACAGTTTCGTTGTATTTTTTCAGTAGAATTGAATAGTGTTATTAGATTATAAGATTTTTGTTGTACTCAAGTGTTTGTTTAAACAATTTAATTTTTTAAATATTTTTCTTTGGAAAATTATATTTATTTCTAATGTTTTCATTGCGGTATTCACTGTTTAGCTATCTGTAATAGTTTGACCACAGCCTCTAATTATGACATTACACCCCTATAACTTCAAGGGGTGATTTCTACCCTTTAAAGTGGATCATGGCAGATATAAAAATATACGGGTCTCTTATTTTTCCGAGTGCTACATTTATACCAAGTTTCATTAAAATCGGAGATTATCACTTCCGTACGTTTACTTGTAAGTAATGTTATAGGTCTATAGTTTTTGACGTTATTCTTACTATAGCTTTTATAAACTGGGATTATTATACCCTTTCTCCACTCATAGGGAAACACTTCACATTTTAGTGATTTATTAAATAAGATATATAAAGGTTTAATACGAGAGTACCCACATGAGCGAAGAAGAGAAGCTGAGTTGAGTTAACAAATTTCCAAAAATATTTTGGATTATCAATTATTGAATTTTCAGTGATGGAAATATAATTCTTATAACAAATATTAGACAATGATTTGCAGTCTGATTTCAATTTAGAAAAAGATAAATAATCATTTTCACTTACAGATCTTTTATATTTAATATGTGCTATTTTTTATCATAAACCAATTGTTTCAACTCTTTCGTATACCAAACAGAAAATG